TGTTAAGGTCAGTGCCAGAATAATCAGTGTTACAATGCTGGAGTTAACAGTGCTGCCTTCAACATTTCCCTTTCTCCTAGTTCTGAAGGAAGGCAGTGATAAAAACAGCAAACTGAGGGACCATGAGAGAAGTTCCACCATTCATGTGTTTGCACGGGAACTAGTTCGATGCATGTGTGTTGCTTTGATGCATGCCACTAATCAAAAGAGTCTGATCTCACCCATATACAGTAAATGCATAACCACATGGGGATGAGGGTAAGAGGTCTGTCAAGAAAAACTGTTTCCCTTGCTGATGCAGATGACAAACTTTGTACTATGTTAAGGAAATACACTCAGTTTCTAAAACCAGGAAACTAATCAACAGACAATTCGCCGTAGCCATTGCTGCAGCGTGAAGAAAGCCTTCAAACACCTTTTATAAGCCTTTTTTAAAAGGAAATTAAGTTGCACTCATGGTAAACAGGCCCTATGCAGCTTTCCACATGCATGCATTATATGAAAACATGAAAGATTAAAAATTACCTTCTGTCATTTCTACTCTGAAAAGGGAAATTGTACTTACATTTCAATTGTATTGCCTACTGAAGAACACTCAGAGATCACAGCTTGAGTCCTGTACCAAAATCCACTCATAAGCAGTTCATTAATATTTACGCTAATAAATGCATAAAAAGTTATTGTTCAATTTTTCCTGTGTGATCCCTTAGAGTTTTTCTAACAGTTCAGGTTGCAAGTACAGTTTTTTCAGTTTGAATTATCTTAGAATACCCAAAATATTTAAATACTTGTACATACAGCGCTTATTCCTCTACACAGGAAATTCAGTTACCTGGGATGGAAAAAGGAGGATGGCTGCGGATCAGTTTCTGCTTCTTGCTTTATAACCGGATACCACTGCGATAATTCCAGGCTCTGCTGTGAATCTGCCTAAAGAAAAGAAAATAAATTTGTAATTGGAAGATGGGTACATGTTATTTACATTTTCATAAACACTCCTCAGTGGAGTGGCATTTACATCATTAATACATGCACACCAGAAAAACTGGGGTACTGGAAAATGGAGTGTCTTTCGCAGAGATGCAGGGTGATGCAAACCACAGAAGTGTCTTCAATCTCCAATTTCCCATTACAGGCAAAGTAGGAAGAAAATTAAAATAAAATCTCTTTACACACCTATTATAAAAGCTCTGTGAGTTTCCAGAACTCTGTCAGAGGCATCCTAAAAACGTTTGGGAGAAACAGAAAGCAGAAACTAGGATTCCCAAAAGGTTGTAGGAGCCTTTTGCAATAAACTATCCACATGATAGTAAGCACTTGCCAGAAACTTTATTACAAAATAAAATCTGTGAATAAAATGGAACAATTACTGGTGTTCCAGAGACAGAACTTTTCTTTAGTTGTCACGAATTTTTATTGCAAAAGCGGGCAAAGCTGCTGCAGTAACATGACAACTCCATTTCCTTTGCAGTAAGAAACAAAATTAATTCAGGAGCATCAGAATAGATCATCTTAAAAAACTTCTGTGCATTTTTTATTTGGTTAGCAATTCTTGTTCTGTTTGTCTCGAGAAACATTTTTGGAATTACTCTTTAATCAAAGTTACTGGTGATACCTGGTGCTCCACTGCAAAGTTACTATTAATTTCACGTGAAAGGCGTCTCATCATATATTTAAACAAGACTCATAGCTAAGAAATTGATTCTTAATTTCATTGTATTAAAATAGCCTTGGGAAGCAGGTTTTTGGGTAAGGGGTAGTTAGTTGACCCCAGCCAGCAACCAAGCACCCACACAGCTGCTCCCTCACCACCCCCTGCAGGGTAGAGACAAAAGCAAGAAAGCTCACAGGTCCAGATAAAGACAGTTTAATAGGTGAAGGAAAGAAAAAAACCAAAACAACCACCCAGTGAAGGAAAGGATATCGTTCACCACCTCCCACAGGTAGACTGATGCCCAGCCAGTCTCTGAACAACGTCCACCTTGGATGCCAAAACTCCCTTTCTTGTTCTTCTACCGCATTTTTTTTTTCCCTGACCATGACATTACATGGTATGGAACATCTCCTTGACAATTTAGGCCAGCTGTTGTGGTTGTGTCCCCTGCCCACCTCTTGCCCACCCCCAGCCTCCTCGCTGCAGGGGCCAAGCACGAAACAGAGAAGGCACTGACACTGTGGAAGGAAGCACTGTTCAGCAGCAGCCAAAGCACTGGTGTGCTGCCAACACTGTTTTAGCCACAAATCCAAAGCACAGCACCACACAGGCTGCTATGAAGAAAGTTAACACCATTCCAGCCAGACCCAGTACACCTTTGGGAAGTTGCTCAATTAATTTAAAAAAAAAAAAAAAAGCAAGCCTATAAAGCTAAAAAAAATCCTACTGTACTGAAAGCTTCACCTAGCATTCTAGTATCTTCACAATTTCTTCTGTACAAGACATCAGAAAAGTTTACATTTACACACCCTGAAATAAAGTGTCACAGTGAGTACCCAATTACCCAGGTGTGGCTTGTACCAAAGTCTGCAGAATCAAATGCCACTTGATCATGAGAGAGACCAAATCCCATCTACAATATTCTGGTCAAAACTTCCAGCCCACTAAATTCAGCTCTAGCAATGAAACTGAAATTTAACTCCACCCCTGCAGTTCTTCAAATCAGTTCCAACGCAGATAGAAAGGAGGGAGGGTACAAGGAAGCTCCAGAAGAGTAAATTCATAATCAAGCCTTTAAATAATAAAGATTTGAAATACAGCAAATAATCTCTAGAAAAATGGCCTCATCCTGACACTTGTCAACTTTTTTCTACTATTCAGATCATTCTAGTAAGTTAAATAATGTACATGTATTCTTCTACTTACATTACAGCTAGTACACAGTAATCCAATTTTAACTTCTGATTCATATCTTCTCCACATTTTAGGACTCACATTTTAACATGTTTACAAATGAAATTATGTATGAAGTAATCTGTATTTTTGAGTTATTAGGTCAGATTTTTACATTCCCACCCATTTCAAATGGAAACCAACTCTACTGTCTACCCATTAGCGTGCATTTTACAAATGAATTATGTAACTTGCAATCAAATTTTTACTTGGGAAAGAAAATGAAAGGTAATCATAAATAAACATGAAGTCTTTTTCTAACATGATTACTTCCTCATCATCTAGGTTAATAAAATAGAGATAAGGCATCTACTTCAATCTATACATGTGTATTTCATTACCAAACAATCTGTTTAGTTCAGATGCTCTTAAATAATTCTATAAACGCAATATATCCAAGTAAATTTAAAATTGAATGACTTCTGCCTAAGCTGTTTGAAAAGGCTACAACAAAAATATGACTCCTTTTTCTTCTAAAGCTAGTTGTACAAAGGTGTTAATAAAAACAAATATAGTAAGTAGTGGTTTCAGCCTAATCATTAAGCCAGTAGTCTTAGCAGAGATGGGATTTACAGAAATACTCAGAAGAAATGTTAACTCTCCACACTGCGAGCTTCTCCCCATGCACGGTGACCAATTTCAAGGACAGTCTGAGAAGCAAGACAAGGTTTTAGTGCAGAGCAACTATCAGAAAGTGTCGCAAAGTCAAAGGGAATGAGGGTCTGACAGCACAGAGATCAGCAGAGACTCAGTGACAGCTGTTCCCATGAAGAGCAGGTGGATGTTACACTGCAGAGTCTAGAACTCAACGGAAAATGAGAAACTCGGTGACAAATATACAGCTTGCAGCTTTCTTATTAGCACAAAGAACAGAAAGGAATTAACGTTGTGAGTACATTGTCTGCTCTTAAAACATAAAAGCAAAAGCTTATTTGCACTGTGAGGTGAAACGCTAAGGAGAAAGGCAAGGCACAGGATCTAGGATGCTCCAAAGGCTATGGGATTTGATTAAAAATTTATTAGTACTGCATGGATAAACACCTAGCCAAGGGCAACTGTTCTTCCTGGGCCCTCCAAGATCACCTCAAAGATGCATTGGCACTTCTGAGGACTGACTCAGCAAAGGTGGTAAGAAGGTGACAGAACAGCAAACGGAACATCCTGCAAATAAATTTCCCTGGGATTTTAAGAAAAGGGAATGTCTACATGGTGTACCTAATACCTCTCACACCACAGAAAGGAGGGAAAGAAAAGACAACTGAAGCAGCCCAAGGTTCCCCAAGAGAAGGAAACGAAGGCTGTGCTCCAACACTCGGCTATTAAACTCTTTTAATGTTTTCTCCTTTCTAGAAGAATATCCATGAGACAAAAAAAACCCCCAAAACCCGGAAAAAGAACCCTCGCCCACCATTTTATCTTTGTTCAAGTTTTCACAGTTTCTCTCTCATTCTGACTTCATATGCTTTGTAAGAAAGAACTATACAGGTCTGCAACACAAGACTCCAGAAAGTTTTTGTATGTCATTTGCACCAATCCCGTCCAAATTACTGTTAGTGCTAATTTCAGCTGGTTTCCTCATCTGTACACATGAAACTGAAAGATCTTGTGGTCTGAAATCTGCTACTGTGAAAAGGGAAGTAGCACTATAGGTATAAATATGGAAGACTATTTCCACCACACTGTAGTTTATTACCTACAGTGGCTTTGCAAGGATCAAGACTGCCAAGTCTCCTTGCCATGAACTTACCTGCATCTTCAACTAATTCAGCATGTGGAAGCACGCCATATTGCAGACATTCATGGAAAATTTCTGCTAAAACCCCTTATTGTAGGCTGGCACAACTGCAAAAATACCTGTTACTGCAGTAAGCCTTTCTGCAATATGAACTTTTTGGAAGTTTATGCTGACAGGTGTCAGCTTATAGCACACCTTTTTGGGCTCTACCACCTGGACTGTTCTTCCTGCTATTTTGAAATCCACCAGAAAACATCCAACAGGCAAGATGGATACATAATCACACCAGCAGCCATCAAACAGACATATAAATGCCAAATACTCTGAAAAGAAACATAGCAGTGAGGCAGGAAGCATTACAAAATGACTTAAGTTTAAATTATACCCCAAAAACTGTACATTCTATGAACTGAAACATCTATGATGTTCAGTATTTATCTGTTGTTTGTCTTATTTAAAGTAGAAGCTCTCTAAGGGAAAAATAAGCTCTGTATTTTTGAACCACAGTGCAGACTTGCGGCAGTATTTTAGGAAAAAATACGATGGCTATTATTAACCATTGTCAAGATACCGGCCTACAGCTCATTACTTGGGTTGCTTAAAACCCCCTCTTCTTGGCATATTTCTCTATACAACCAGTTTAAACAGAAAGCTATTGCTGAACAAGCAGACTTCGGGCTTCTAAACAGCAACTTATCAATGCACTACTGCCCATCATGAGATGGCTGGTCAGCAAGCCAGGTCGCCATATACCGCACGTGTGTCTGCTGGAGTAAACATAATAAATGAAGAATTAATTTGTAATACTTGATTTTCAAGCTCCTTTCTGCTTTGCTCAGCTGCTGCAACACACACCATATAAAATGTACTCAAAGGTCAAATAGGAGTATGAAAATTTCCACAATAGCTCTGAATTTTCCAGTGACTGCATACTTCAGAACAGAACAAGAACCAACAAAGCCAAACCAGCTCGCATGAAGTTACATACAGCCCAAAGAGGAAAGAAATTACCGCACCTTTTAATGAGAAATGTATTTCCACGGTGAAGCTCTCTCACAAACTTAACTTAGGCTTGATTTGACAAGCATTCCCATTTACAAAACGCAAGCAATGTGCTTCCAAAACAAGTATCTACGTGTGAGCAGAAAGAGACTTGGGAGCTTTACAAGAGTAGGTGAACTTACTTTGGACCGAGTTCTTTTCTGATTTTTCTCGCTAAATTTCTCCTTCATTTCCTCCAAGAGATGTTTCAGTTCCCGCTCCTCTGATGTTCCTAAGTATTTTTGGTTAATATGCAAGTAGCAGTGCCACTTGGCCGATTCAAATCCCCAGTGGCAGGTCCTCTTGTCCGGGGATCTGTGTGAATGCATCACAAACGTCTGGGGTGAGAACATCCCGTAGCACTCTAAACACTGGATACACGGGTCATCTGGTGCAAGGTAGAACTGAGGTGCAAACAACCCCTGGCACTTGCCCAGGCATTCATGCTCTACTTCAAAGGCACTGCCAGTCTCTTTCAATTGGGCCAAGGTGTTCTTACCAGGGAGAAAACTACCATTTTGTGGAAAAGTGCGAGGACGTAGTAAAGCATTGCATAGTCTCTGAGCATCAGTCAGTGTAATTAGCCCACAGGACGGAGCGTTAAATGGAAGAATTCCCAAAACCTTCAGAATATGAAGCTGGTCGGAAGTGCACCTTGAGCAGTATATATACAGTTCGTCACACACTGTATTGATCTGTTGCAAGGAAAAGTCTCGGAGAACCGAATTCAACACTTGAGGAAGGCAAAGTCTTTTTTCTCCTCCAACTTTAAAACAAGAGATAGATTCCCCCTCCAGCAGAGTCTGGGTGAGTTCTGTGGAGCTGTCTGGAGGAATGAGAAGTGGACCAGAAAGTATTTGCGGTGATGGAAGAGGCAAGAAGACAGTGGGTGACATACTTTCCTGGGAATAACGAGCTGAAAAAGCTGCTGGTCCACCCAGCGAACTCTGGCTGCTCAAGTGGAACTGTGCCAACGTGTGTTTCAAACCCGGATTTAAATTCAAAGGCTCAGATAGTGAAGTACTGTTTGGCTTGGCGGTTTCCCCATCAGCCTCCACAGCCGTTTCATCATATTCATCCAAGTTCTCCTTCTTTATTGTTGGCAATTTATTTATTACAACTCGTACTTTGCTATTTACGTGCATTTCTGTCATTGCTTTTTTTAATGGAGGACTCCCATCCTCTTGGATCCCACTCCTTTTTTGGTCTGAAACTAGACCTAAAGGGAAGTTTATTTGTGGGTTTTCCATCGCTAAACACCAGAACTTTAATTAAGTAAGTACTGAATATGCATTTTCCTGCTTGTTCATATAAAAAAAAAAAATTTTCAAGTGATCTTGATTATCTCAGGCACACCACGTTTTGCACTCCCTTCAGTAAAATGTTACTTCTGCTGCCTCCAACGGTAAAAACTGTAACCCATTTTGCATGCAATATCATAAAATTAATAATGGAGAGGTTAAACAATATTATTTTTTAGTTTTATAGTTATTTGTTCAATTTCCTCATATAAAAACCCCACTCCGATATGTATACAAAAGGCTTCTCTTCATACCCTACCCGCTATTTTACACAGCAATCTTGTACAGCGATTTAGTAAAAACCAATTGAGTTGATGCAAGAGTGTCCATCCTTGATTTTTTTTCTTTAAAAAATATACTGTCTTTTCAAATAAGTCTCTATTTAAATATTAAAATAGAAAAATGGTCTCAGTTTGAAGAACGTTGATCTTAACTGATCCAAAAACGTAGTTTAAGTCGTGTGAAAATTTTATTCAGCACTTTCAGTTCTCTGAGATCAAACACAATCTTAAGGGCTTGCTTTATTGTGCTGCCAACTTTATGATTTCACCACCACCACACGAGTTACTATGGTAGTTCACAAATAAATTCCCAAATTAAGGCTGATCCAGATCGCCGGCAAAAACTGAACGTCCCTAGAGAGTCACCTTTAGCACAGATGTCACTGGTATGCGTCAGAATTTTCCCACCCCAAGATATTAGTAACAGAGGTAAGATCCAGGCCATCGGCTAATTTCATGTCTTGTGCTAACAGAGTTCTGTCAGTCTTTCCAGATAACCTGTGAAAAGAGAAAGAGGTCGGTCATAAGCGATCCCAAAACGTGAGTTTGCCATGTCAAAGGAGGGACGCGTTTCCCAGTTAATGACGGAACACGGGTGTGCAGGGAGCCTTCCTTTAGAGCCCTAAGCCCCGAACAACCCCCGGCAGACGGGTGAAGCTGGCGGCAGCAGACAACTCCCGAAGCGCTGCATTCACCGCC